TTCTGGTCCTGGCTGTTGCTTGCTGACCTGGCAGGCTCTAGCTAATCTTTGTGGCAGACGCAAGAAGCCATCCCCTGATGGCTCAAAAACAGTTCGGGCTTGTTTCTGGAGAGCTGGTCCCACGAGTGTGGAAAATTGCTCTGAATTTAGAAAGTGGGGGTCTCAACCTCCAGTAGGGCCCCATTCTGTCCGGCCCCTCTCCTTGGCAACCTTGAACAGAAAGCTCCGCCCCTGCAAATCTGAAAGCAGCTCCCAGTCCACCAGAAAATTTGCATTTGTCTTCGCTGGCTCCTTTCCAAATGGATGCACATTTTGCGGGGGCTCCGTTTCGGGAACGGCAGAGATTCCCAGGGTGGCGTCCGGGCCGCGTTTCTGTTGCGGGGGACCACAAAAAGGGTAAGGCAAGCAAATCTTCGGATCAGGATCTGTTGCGAGGTCATCCAGATCAAGCCATTCAGCATCTTTCAGGATTTGCTCCGCGCATCTGGGCCAACCCCCAAAAAAAGAAAATGGGGGGTCCAACCCCACCATGAAAAAACGAAAACGGCAGCGTCGTGAAAAACATGGGGAGGTCAACCTCCATCAGTGTCAGCATCATTTCTGTTATATGGCTCCCTTACAAGGTAAACTTTCAGTGAAATACAACACAAACCCCTCTAATCCCTCTAAACTCAAAAGAGTGGACCATTGGGTGCCGAGGACGGCCAAAATGAGACATGTGAACAGGGACTCCATAAACGAAGATCAAACCCACCAGGCTGGAGATTTCGTCTGGTTTTCTTTGGTTTCCCATGCTCATTTTTGCATTTTGAAGATTCCGCACCATTTCACCCAGAAAATGGTTTTCTTTGGTTTCCCAGCAGGCAGGCAGAAGAGGCCATATGCAGTGCCACGTCGGACCGAGGTTGCCCCCCCCCTTTTCTAAATTGAGCGTGTTTTATGAAGATGGGGTCGGCCCGCCGTTTTCTAATGAAAAATTGGGGTGGACCCCCCCCCATTTTCTCCAACCCCGCCCCCCAACACCAGACCCCGATCTTGAGGTTTTTTGCGATTTCTGATCTGGTCGAGGCACCCTCTGCGGGGATCGGCGTCAAGGTACAAAAACTCGAGGTTTTCTGCGTTTTTGCGGTGCCACGCGCGATTCTCTGTGGGGATCGGCGTGGTCGAGGTGCAAAAACTCGAGGTTTTTTGTGTTTTTGCGGCGCGGGGATGAACCCTCTGCGGAGATGACGCGCTCTCGCTGTGGCGCCGTACGAATTCGTCTTTGTCTCGGCGAACCCTCTGCGGAGATCGTGCGTGTCAAGCGCTCTCGCTGTGGCGCTGTGCGATTTTATTACTCGCGAAATGGCCTTGGGAAGTTGTCTCGTGGTTTGCGCGCCTGCTTTCGCAATCCCGCGGTCGCGGGTTCGATTCCCCCCTGTTCCGCGGCAGCTCCAGCTGGAAAATCGCAACTTTTAAGTATATGAAAGTAGTAGGCGAAGTTCACTTTCGCAGCTGGAAAATCGTAACTTTTAAGTACGAAAGTAGTGTGCAAAGCAAACTCCTCCGGCTGGAAAATCGCAACTTCTAAGTACGAAAGTAGTACGCGAAGTAAACTTTCGCTGCTCCGGCTGGAATATCGCAACTTTTGAGTATCGAAGTAGCACGCGAAGTAAACTTTCGCAGCTCCGGCTGTACGAAAGTGTTTCGCGAATAGAGGAAACTTGTTCAGAGCAACTTGCTGAGAGAACTTGCTTGGAGAACTTGCTCAGAGCAACTTGCAGAGAACTTGCTTGGAGAACTTGCTCAGAGGAACTCGCGCCAACCTCCGACGCGCAACAGCGCGGAGAACTTGCTAGGATTGTTAGGAGAACTTGCCGCCGCTGCTAAGCTTTCGGGCCACTCATCTTCTATTTTGTTTGTATGTTTAAGCGGGTGCATGCGCGACTTATGCACGTTCCACCCACATGTGCCTTTTGTATGCGGTTACATGATAGTTCTCACGTGTGAATATGCATATGCTGCTGGGTAGAGGCCGCCTTGCAGCTTCTATCCAAGCCTGTTGCTTTTTGAGGAACCCACTGCAATACGCAAAGACTTTTCAACAGGGCAATGGTTGGGGTCGGTTGGACATCGGCCACAGCTTGAAATTGGTCGGGGAGGATCATCGATGGCCCTTTTTGTCAGACGCAACATGTTGATGGTGCGGCTTCTTGTCACTACATGCGCATGTTGGTTCAAACCCGCCACCGGCTCTTCTGGACAGGGGGACCCGGGCCGATGAAGCTTTGCAAGGGCCTGGCAGTTGGGCTCGGGGGCCTCCTGGCCCGGTGCTTGTGCAAGCCATGCATGGAGCCCACGGGGCTGCGTGCTGCGAGGGTGAGGCGGGCAAGGCCAGAGACCTATGTGGAGCCTGCGCAGGATGGGCGTGAGGGCCTGTACTTTGGCGAAGGGTCGCCCCTGGCCAGGCGGGTTGTGCAAAGCAATGCCCCGCTGAGCACCTGGCAAAACTGGTACAAGGCGCCGTGGTGGCTGCAACAAGGTGACATCATGACGCTGTATGCGGCCTTCATACGAGAGGCTGTGCAGGTTTTCCGCCATAGGCGCCTGGTGCCCACGCCGGATGGCGGCATTTTTGCGCTGGACGTATTCAACACAGACCGAGGCGAGCCGGACTTTGCCAGCGGGAGGCCTGTGGTGATCCTTGTCCCCGGCCTTGGTGGTACCACCGACCGCTCCTACCTTACCAACATGGCCGCCGCGCTGATGGACAAAGGCTTCATCGTCGTCGGCCTTAATCTGCGCGGCTGCGGCGGCGTTGAGCTGAAGACCGCCCGCCCGGCCTCTGCCTACCGTGGGGCCACGGATGACCTGCGGGTGGCGGTGAGGTATGTGCGGGAAAAGCTGTTGAACGAGACCAAGGCAAGGTGCCAGGTGTGTTTTGCAGGGTGGAGCCTAGGTGGCAACATGATAGTCAACGCGCTAGCAGAGCAGAAGACGCAGACTGGCAATGCCCATGCGGGTGAGTTGTCTTTCATTGATGGGGGCGTTGCGCTTTGTCCAACTCATTGCTTGGTCCGATGTGCCAAGCAAGCACGAGAGTATTGGCCAACACGCAACTTGTACGATCCCTTCGTCACTCGAAACCTACTGAAGGTTCTGGAGCCAGCAAAAGGCTTCTACCAAAGTCCCGTTCAAAGTTGGAATGGAACGGACATCATGGTGGACAGCGAGCGGCTGTTTTCTGCCAAGCGCCTGATTGACTTGGATGAGGCGCTCTTTAGCAGAATGTTTGGATATGGGTCTGTTGAGGAGTACTACTATGATGCTAGCTCCTGCCGGCGTTTGGGGGATGTGCAGGTACCATTGCTGTTGATCACAGCTGCTGACGACCCCATGACGACCAGCTGGGCCCCTTTCGACACAGTGCGCTCCAACGAGAATGTGGTTCTGGCATACACGAAGCATGGGGGGCACCTGGGCTGGCAGGATGAGTCCAACGCTAAGCGCTCGGACTGGGTGGAGGATGCCACTACTAGCTTTCTGGCGGAGGTTGCTTTGGCTGAGGCTGCCGGCTGATAGGTCTTTTACCGACAATGCCAACATAAAAATGAGCATGGCCCAGTTGCTCAAGGACATATGTCCAGCAACATGACGGTGCTTGCAGCAAAGAACCTGCGACTGCAGCGTGCGGATGTGACTGGGTTCCACTGCGGCATGAGTGCCTTTCTGCTGGGCTGTATGCATCAACTGTGGGCCGCATGCCTACCACATTTGGGTTATTACATTTGGCAAGCTGAAAAGAAAATGCATCCGCACATGAATGGGCTGCAGCCTTTTTGCTTGGCAGAGGCCCATTCCTTATTTCCAATGGGTGTGACAAACCACCCACAAGACTCGGCAATGACGGGTTCGTGTTGCCGTCCGCAATCAATACCACCTGCCAGGCTCGGCTCCTGCACGCGTTCGATTTGCAGTCACGCATGCTCCGCCAGGGCCCCAGGAGCCAGTTCACATGACCAGTGGTTCATACAGCTCTTTAGTCATTTGCCCAGGGTTCGTGGCTGAATGTGGCCATCGCTTGTAGAGAAGGTGTAGCAAAATACATTGGCTCCGAGAGAGTCGCTTAGGTGGCGCGGTCGAGCAGGAGGGAGGTTTACGACAAAGTGCCGAGCACCTCTTGCACAGGCGCTGGGCCAGTGCACGGCCATGGGCCATGGGCCAATGTACAGGGAGTCCATGTTAGGCAAGGCCGAGTTGAACGCACCCAACGCACCGGACATTTCTTGGCCGCAAGAAGCCCCAAGCCCCAGACCCGCAGGTTCCTGGCGCGGGAGGTGCCGGAGCTGCGCGCGCGCCTGGCGGAGGCCGCCGAAGACCGCGCGGCCTCGCAGAGCCGGGCGCTGGAGCGGGTGAGGTGGGGCGGGACCGCGGGGCTTGGACAGCTTCACGGGCGAAATTCCTTCGAACCCGCTCGAATGACTCGGCTGTTCAAAGGCAATCCTTAATCCTTGTTTCCGGTTACGCACGGGGTCCCTTTTGTAGCGGTTTCCCTATAAGGATTATGGATTAGGATTGGCCAACCCTCCATTTTGAACAGCCCAGAATGAGGTCGTGCCATGCTCAAGACTGTCGCAATCAGCCCGTTTGCTGCCAATGCCGGCTTTCTGGATGCATTCCTTTGGGAGCTTGACATTGCGTTTGTCCTCAAAAGTTTGCGCCACAAAGGTTGGGTAGAGCCATGGAGCAAGGTCAGACGCGTGCTGCAAATGATCTGCGTGTTACGCTGGCCCGCGCAGCTGTTCCCGAGACCATGTCTCGGTTTCTATGGGTTGCAGGAAAGCTCGCATCAATCTTCATTTCACGGGCAGAGGCTGCACTTCGGGCTCAGCAATTGGCAGGACACCCGAGATGTTTTGCTGTATCCACCGGCGCACCTGCAAGCAGACACTGCTTTGTCTTTCACGTCGTAATGGTGGCTGTATCTTCTACAATGGCAGACCTCCAGGGGTAGTAGTTTTGCCGCCTGGCGGCCTGAGGCCAGACGAGCCAGGACCTGGTGTTCATGATGGAATCAGACAGCATGGGCCAACTTCAATAGTGCTTGTTTGTCGGTTCCCCATGAAAAGCCGCCCCAGAGAACCGGGGAGCAAGGAAAACACCTGTGAAACGTAGCCATTTATTTGGAGCCAAAAATGGAGATGGCGGAGATGGAAGACGAGGACATCGATGCCTACCTGGATGGTGGGGATCCCAGGTGCTTGCGGGTCGGCACCTCCGTGTTGCAGACGTTGGCGTGGTTGCAGGGACGTTCCCTGTACTTCCCTGTTATCAAGCGACAGCACTGTCCCTGCTGAATGGGGTCACGCGGCATCTTTTTCGTTGTTCTTTGGAGAGTCGCAAGCCAGCGTTGAATGAGAGTTCAGGAAGGCCTGATTTGGCCCCACGCCCAGGTTTAGAAGCCGAGTGCGCACCTGCTCAGGCGACCTGGACGCATCAAGCTTTATAGGCAACTGCAATGCTTTTGCCACCACTTCTCGCGACTGGCGACACCGTGTTTAGGCTGAACTTCTCAGTTCACTTGCGATGAATTGCGACGGGTGATCAGAAGCACCCACACAACTCGCGCTCTGGCAGTGTCTCATGTTGTTAAGGCATGTCGCACACCGGCCTCGAGTAGCACTTACCGCCAGGAGGCGCTCAGAGGTTTGACGCTTCGTCAATCAGACAAAGCGAACCAAGGGAGATCATTGCCACGCAGATTTCACCAAGCACCACGCGTGCGCAGACACGCATCCGTGCAAATCCGTACATTCCTGCACGCGCACGTACATTCACACATGCGCATGCACTCAATCGGATGAACAAGCACGGGCATACGGAACACTTGTGGTGCATGAAGCTGGTCTTTCTACGGCCGAAGCTTGGAACAGGTGTCACGAGCTTGCTTCCACGTGGTGAAGTCTGTCCTTGAGACGCAGGCGCTGCCATCGGAAGCGAGATCTCGCGCTTTCTTGCTTGGTCATCTTCATTTGGTTTCGGCTGCTTTTGCTACCACCAAAGTGCAGAGGTGGGCAGGTGGGATTGGCATGCCATTGGGTCGCCGCGCTCGAGGTTTACTATACCAGCAACTCCTTGAGCCACAGCCAAGCCAGCACTATCCCGGGCATTCTGCAGTCACGAGCAAGTAGACTTTTTCACGCATAGCCCAGCTTCCAAGCTCAACTCTGCGGCAAACTCGTCGAGCAAGGGACCTAGCCAACAAGCTTTGACTCTGCGAGAGAGAGCACAATCGAGCGGCAAACGCCACAACAAGTGCTGCGGAGCTGCCAATTGGCGCCTCACCTCCGGGTCGGCGTCATCCATGGGACATGCCCAGCGAAGCGACCTGGAGGTGGCCTGGCCTTCGGTCCTGTTTGGCCGTCGCAGGGCCATGCACCCCGGCGCTTGCACCACAGCCAGGGTCCACCAGATCACTTTACGCTCGAGGCCTCTTTGAAGGCCCTGTCAGCTGGCAGTTGGGACCCCAAAGGCCTATGAGTCCACTCGCGATTTGTCCTTATCCAAGCAGCTTGAGGCATCATCGTGGCGGCCATCGTGTCCACCCTCTTCGAGAATGCAGCCAGCTTCCACGCGCAGGTGAGCCGACAGGTGCTGCAGCTGGTGATGTTCGTGAACTCCAGCGCGGAGACAGCGAGCGAGCTGCAATCCACAGAGCTGCCCACCACCACGCAGGTCAGCGCTGCGCTCACGAGCACCACCAGGTGGGATTCGCGGACATGAGGTGGTTCCTGATCCCCGAAAACCCATGCGAGTGGGTGTAATCCAAACCATTCCAAGCCGATGTTGCATTCTCTTCACGGAGTTTGGATATCGTTTTGTTATGCTTGTTGTTTGCTCCCTTTCCCTGGCCGCACAGAGGCATTGCGAGGGCTCCTTTTGTCGCAGGTGGACCTCCACCACGGCCACCACAACCACAGCCACCACAGCCACCACAGCCACCACGGGACATGAGGTGACGGAGCACCGGTGGTTGGAGAACACCTTCCCCGCCAAGGCCGCCCGCTCGAAGATCCCCTGCCCCACAGAGGCGTCCGTCACCGCGTGGAACGGCCGCCTGGGGAATCACCTCCAGCAGGCCTGGGCCCCAGATCGACGACATCAAAACCCAAAACCTGCTTGAGACTCACCGGAACCAGCCCACCGACTCCAAACCAGGAAGCCAGACCTGAGCCAACCCAACTCCTGCACGCAAGAGGCACGCTGCGTTTGTTTGAGGCTCTCCACGTGTTTGTTTGTGGGCTTGGGGCACGTTTGCGCATGCAAGGATGTAAGCGACCTGAAAGTTCAACAGCAGTACCTAGTCCACAATTGTCCCCCCCAATGGCAGGATTCATGGCTCAGGTGATGAACGTCCTGGCCTTTGCACAGCTCTGTGGGGTGGAAAGCTTGCAGTTTCCTGCACATCAGAATAACACCCATCACTACAGTCACCAGATTCTTATGCAGCACTATGCGCCT